GCCTGCGGTGGCTAGGTCGAAGGGGTGCGGGTGGTGTTGCTGCTGGTGATGATGTTGGTGATGTTGGGGAGGGGCGGTTATCTCGTCGTCATCTTCGTGTTCGGCCTCGGCCTCCGCATCGTGGGCGAGCTGCTCGAGCTGGTCGGCAGCCACGGAGGAGTGTCGGCTGGCGCGGCCGTGGGCGTCCCTCTTGAGGCCGGCTGTGGGCTTCGTCACCTTGTTTGGGCGGCCTCGAGGAGGTGGTCGGCTTCCGCCTCGGGCACTCATGGGGTAATCGAAGAGGACGCTGCCTCTTTTACGATGGTGGACGGTGAGGGAGCTCTAGCTAGTCGGCGATGATAAGTGGCGTTGAGAGTGGGCAGCTGGTGTCAGCTGCAGAGAGTGTGTGATGAGGAGTTTGGGGGCCTCGAAAGAGCTGGTGTTGATTGAGCGGGAAGAAGCTGCTGATTGCTGTTCGGTCCCACTCACAATTTGGGTGCTTCCATTGTGGTGCAGTTGGGAGCTCGGGCCAGAAGTTCTCCGCCTAAGCTTTGCCGAGAATTATGTAATCGATAGAAAGAGGCCTGGAAGTGAGAGCACAACGGTCCAGTAAGTTGAAAAAGGTGTCATGTCACCAATCACGTCACTCCCTGAACCTCACCTTGATGATTATGGCTTTCATGTGACAGTCGACGTTCTAATACCAAAGACTGGAGACGCAGGCACATGGGAGGGGAAATGGACTTTCGCTACCTACACTGCTTTGGCAATGCAGGTCTCTTGTAACACGGCCATCTCATACGTCTGCCTTAGCTGAGCCAAGACATCCCTTGGAACGTGAGGGAAGAACCTTCCAAGCAACTAGGTTGGAACAGGAAGCAAGAGACATGCGCAAGGGGGAGAGCATATCCTGGTCGTTTTAAATCTTCCACTTTGAGAAAGCTCTTTTGAATCTTGGCCTGACCGCGGGCCGGATCATTCTAACCATGATCCTTCAGTCATTTATCTTGTTGCGATGAACCTCACGACTCAGCTGTGGGAGGGTTCTCCCAGACATCGCCTCCACCCTCAGCCTCTGTCATCTCCTTCCACCTCTGGGCGAACTCCCTCAAGCCACCGTCGCCTGACATGCTGGCCTCAACGACCTCCTTGGGAAGCTTGTGCGCTGAGTACTGCGGTGTGCTGAAGTTGAAGGCAGCAGGGTTATCCTTCTCGACCAACCTCAATTCAGGCACCAATTCGTCAACGTCTTCATCGTCTGTCGTTTCTTCAACGCCACTGACATCAACAAGGTCTTCCTCGTTAGCACCTGGACCTATTCTAATAATCTCTTCTTCGTTGACAACTGAGCCTAGGATGGGTCCTGGAACCTTGAACTCTAGCAATTCCACCCAGCTGTAGAGTAGGCTATCTGTCCGAGGCGCCCAGGGGTTGATATCGATAAGGCGCACCTTGCCAAGCTCGTCGCGTGAATCACTGTCACCGGGAACGTAGACGTCAAACGTGAATGAGCCGTCTGGGAAGGTGAAGCGCAGGCGGTCTTCGAAGAAATCGGTGATCTTGGATACCAACGCGGGTCGTAAGCCATCGAGGAAGGGATAGTAATTCCAGTCACGCTGGCAAAGACCAATCAAAGTGCGATGTTTGACGAAGCACCGGAACTCGAGGGCCGGGTTTGGCGCAAAGAAGGGTCTCAGGACCAGGACCGGTTGGAAAGGCCGGTTGGCGGAGGAGGGGACGGTATCCTCAAAGGCGTGCTCCAGGTCATGGCTCACGAAGCTAGAGCTCTTGAGCAGGAGGTAAATATCGTTGGGCGTTGTGCATTTCAGCGTGTTCTGATGCGGCGAAATCCAAGCGGCATCTTTCGGTGCTGACCAGTTCAGCTTCGGCGCAACGGAACCGCCCAGCTCCTTGATCCTCTCCTTGATCTCTTGGTGAATTTCAGGGAATCGCTCATTGGGCGGCCGGCAGTCAGCTTCGGGTTCGTCGTCGGAATCATCTTCTTCGAGATGTTGATTCCGTCGTGGTGCGCCGGCTGTATTCGATGAAGCGGACCATTCCTCCTCTGCTTCGTCCCCTTGCGGCTCATCGTCGTCGGCGAGAATAATGCCGTCGTCACGGATGTATTGGACAAAGTCAGGCGACAGCTTGATGATCCTGGATCTGATCGACACAGTCCGGTACTTCGGGAACCAACTATCGTATGAACAGTTCAAAACATGCTCCTTCGTGACTGGCGGAAAGGTAAGTTCCTCGGTCTCCTGAGCAGTTGCATTATTTATGGCGTCCAGGGTTGGCTGCCCCTCAGTGAGACCTTCAAGAGACGGCATTGTTGAGAATGAAGGCTAGCTTGGCCTAAGTGTCTCGACAGCGATTTCAGTTTGTATAGTCGAGGACACGAGTAAGTTTGGATCCCGAGGTTCCGGCAAAAAAATGTGATGGGGTGAAATTTGCTCTGTTCCTCACTTACATCGATGAGTCTTCTCACATTAAGTGAGTCTTCCTGTCGCCCAAAGCGGAAAAGTACCCCACCATCCCACCCGTCATAACTTTTCTGCCGGCCCCATCTCTCTATACACTTTCACCGCCTTTCGAAGCCCAACCAAACTTCGTCCGTGGTACCATTGCCAAGGGTCTAGTCTCGGTGACGTCTCTTGCAGATCCAAAGTACCGAGATACATCTTGATTTTCCCGCCAACACCGACTCGAGAGAACAGCATCAACAGCGCATTCCTTACTTCCTCCGATTAGAGTTGACATATACCACATAATCTCGATAACCATGTCCGACAACGTCGGTCTCTCAACGCCTCGTGGCAGCGGTACTTCAGGCTATGTTCAGCGCAACCTTGCGCACATGCGCCCACGCGACTATGGCGCGCCCTATCCTCCCAAAGACGCCGACTCGCTCCGTCACAAGCAGCGACAGCCCGATAAAGAGATCTTAGAGCATGACCGCAAGCGTGAGGTCGAGGTTAAGGTCCTTGATCTGCGCGACACCCTCGAAGATGAAGGGTAAGCTTACCCCCCTCCCCCGTCCCTGGCCTTGCAAGGATACTAACGGTGCTCTAGCCTCGACGAGGAAGAAGTTGAGAAGCGATGCGACGAAATGCGAAAGAAACTACTGACCGACCTCGAGAAACAAAAGAACAGCCGTGGCGGCGGCGGCGGCGGTGGTGGTCCCGTACGGAAGCACTTCAAGAGCCATCAGGTGCACGAGATGGCAGACGCCAAGATCAAAGAGAGCGAGAGACTCAGGAGCGCTTTGAGAATAAGCAAAGACTACGAGGAGGGAAGCCACTGGAGGAGACAAGAGGAGAGACTTCGGAGCTCTGTGGAGAAGGAGACCAAGAGGGAAGACGTCGACTAAAGCACCGATTACGCAGTAGAGCTCTTATTACGAAACGTGGCGTCAGGACTTGGGCATGGAATAGCAGGGAATAGGCGTTCAGGCGTTTGCATTGGAGGGCAAGCAAATACAGACACGCTGCTAGGGCATTATTCTTCAAGCAAACGGTACCAAGGATGATCTCATGGACTCGACAGCCGGGTTCGGTTTCAATTATTGTTGGTACATGGGCGCAGATTTCTTCTGGCGTCTAGTAATACACAATTGGCATGCCGCCTCTTAATTTGTTATTTCTTCCCTGATGGCGGAACCCAAGCTTCTGGCTGCCAGCCCTCGCTTAGTCCACTGGCTTTCGCCCAAGGATCCTTGCCATATTTCTTCTTCGCATCGGTCGCAGGTTGAGCCTGATCCTCTGGCAGCTCTGTCGTCTTTGCGTTCGTGTTGGCTGCTTCCAGCTCCGGCGCCGTGGGCTGTGACCGCGCAGTGTTCAATGACGGCAGAGGTTGACCAGTCTGCTGGCCTGGAGCATCGGTAAGCCTAGGCTTTGCCTCCCATCTCGCGTCGGCCTGCGCGGACAAAACTTTCATCCGCTCCTGTCTAAATGCCTCTCTTGTTTGTTCTTCAAGTGTCGGGGGGTCTTCTCGGGTGTAGCGCAGCCATTGATGCCACAATGGTGACACCTTCACGTCGGAGAGGTAGGTTGATCGGGGATAGTTAACAATACGGCGGAAGCGGCCGGGACCATTCCCCCGTGACTCGCGAAACTCCCAGAAAGTATAGCCCTGCAGGTCACGGCCTAGAACCGAGCGTGTTAGTTCTCCTCGGACGTTGACAATGGGGGTCGATGGGCCGGGGACGGGGAAAGGAACATGCCGACAAGGAAGCGTTTGCGCCATGGCAGTCTGAGCGACTTCCACTTGTACCACGCCTCTAAAATTGGTGATATCCGTGTTGAAGACATTTGCGCTGTTGGAATGGGTGGTTGGGAAAGAAATATCTTCGATCAGGAACCCATGGCTTCTAGATGCAAAAGTCGCCAAGTCCTAGAAAAGTAATGAGGTCAACCTTGGACTGCACCGCCACTTGAAATTTGGCCGAGGAATGGCGTATCTTATCGTCAGCCACATATTTCCTCTGTAATGGCAATACTGAGCGTTCGCAGCATCAGAGTTGCATTGGCCCCGCCAGCCACCACCGCACACGTCACTCCGCAAGACCGCGGCGGTCCAGCCGGACCCTGGGTCCTGTCACCTTATCCAGGTTCCCGCCAGCGGCGCCTGGCTCTAGATGCATAAACAATTAAAACATCCCCACCACGGCCGTTCTTCATCGGGCCTTCCAATCACTTCAACCTGCCACCCGACTGCCTTGATTCCCCCGCAAAACATTGGCCTAACACTTGTTTTCACCCACAAAAAGACTGAAGACACGCGATCGGGGAAACATCCATATCATCTGAAGCAAGTCCCGCGCAACGCGCGCCGAACGACAGAAACTTGCATCCGTTACTTCAACTCCGTCATCGCCGGACCCCGCCGACGTCAGCGCCCAACCGTTACCCTACTGAAACGCCCTCGCGAAACCAACCTCAAAGCTCCTGAACCCGCAAGACTCGATTTGGTACAACGATACGAAAGACTATCTTGATCAATCGCCAGTCAACGACGCCATCATGGCCTCTGTATCGTCCTTGGACAAGGATTTGCGCAAATTGCGCCTCGACAAGTACACACCGGCTGCTGCAAAAGAAGTCAGCAGTTGGATCGAAGGGGTCTTGGGTGAAAGACTACCAGCAGGCGACTTGCTGGAGGGACTGAAGGATGGCGTTGCACTCTGCAAGTGCGTGGGTTAACATATCCCATACTTACCAATACTGACCCAGATACCTTAGGTTGATCAATCTCGCGGTACCACCACCAGGCGTCAAATTCAAGAAGTCGGCCATGCCATTCGTACAGATGGAAAACATCTCTCACTTTCTGCGCGCCTGCAAACAACCTCCTCTCAACCTTCAAGACCACGATGTCTTCCTGACCGTCGACTTATTTGAACAAAAAGACCCTGCCCAAGTGCTCCAATGCCTGGGCGCTTTCAGTCGAGCCGCGAACGCAGCAAACCCAGCCAAGTTCCCGACGGCAATCGGAAGCCGGAGCCGGGGAGGAGTGATGAGTCCCCAAGGAACTGGTCGCGGAACCCCATCGCCGACAAGGTCGCGCGGATTCTCCAATGCATCAGGCTTCGGCTCGCCTCGGCCTACTCTGACCAGCGCCAAGACCGGAGACTCCGGCTCGGGTCGCTGGAGCCCGACTAAACCTACTTCCCCAGTTACCAGCTGGAGCAGAAAGGAACACGAAGGCGCCACGTCTCCCGCTTGGAACATCGCCCAATACGGCTATATGGGCGGTGCCAGCCAAGGAAACCTAGGAATCTCATTTGGCAGTCGGAGGCAGATCACGAGTGCTGGCCCTGCAGTGCCTAGTTTGGCCGAGAAGGAGCGCATTCGAAAGGAGAAAGAACTCGAGGAGGAGTATCAGCGCCAACAGCAACAGCAAGAGGACGCGGAAAGGCGTAAGAAACTGGAGGACGAACGCGAGGCTATGCGAAAACAAGAAGAAGAGGAAGAACGACTACTGAAAGTGAGGCAAGCGGAAGAGGATGCCAAAGCGGAGAAGCTTGAGTGGGACAGGCAGGAAAAAGAATGGCGTGCGAGGGACGAGGATCGCCGCAAGAAGGAGGCTGAAGCTCAAGCACGCTTGAACGAAGAGCAAAGCCGTCTAAGGAGCAAGAGCGACGCACGACTCCGGGGCCAGTTTCTGAGCCAATATCAGTCTGAGCAGGGCATCAAAGCACAGAAGACTGGAGCCGATCGGATTGCTGAACTGGAGAGAGAGCTCGAAGAGGCCAGGGAACGCGAAAGGCAGTATGAACTTGAACGCCAGGGACGAACGGGCAGGACACTGGCCGTCACCAAAGACCCCAAGGAACGCGTTCGGTCTAGGAGCCGGCCTTCCGATGGAACCCCTAGCCGTCAAGACTCATGGTCCAGAAATGAGCGTGAGGTTCTCCAGACGGCGTGGTCGCAACATCAAGACTCGCATCAAGACGACGAACCCCCCGCGCCGCCACCAAGATCGCCGAGACCTCTCCCCGATCCGATGGCGGTCGCTTCGCCTCCTCAAAAGGCTGTAGCGCATACGACTGGTGGTCGGCCCCTCCCGGATCCTGCTGCTTATCAGGCGGCCGCGCGGGCCCCGCCTAGCCGAACTGACAGATATCTCAACAACAACGCAGCGCCTGCGCCATTGGTCGCCAAGCAGACATACTCACGCGAGCTTGGCGCTACTGCCGAGCAAGATAGCGAGGACCGTCGGCGTGCTCAAAGTCAGACCAAGACTAAGGCGGGTGGTTGGGCTTCAAAGTCGCTGCTCGAGCGAGAGATGGAGATGGAACGTGAACGCCAGCGTGAGTGGGAGGAGTCCCAAAAAGAGACGGCCAAGGCGGTTCCCAGTGGCAACGGAGTTGACGGTATCGGCGGTGGCATTGGAGGCCGCTGGGATGTGAGCCAGTGGGCGGGATACACTGGGGGAGACAACCAGAATCGGGGTGCTCAGGGCATCGGGGCGGGTCGTAGACAGATTGTCGGGCCCAGGCCGCTGCCCAATCCTCCTCGGTAAGAGGTTTTGTCAGATAGAAGGTGGTCTTTACTGTTTCCTAAGCGTAGACAGGCGCCTAATCCGCATGAACCGGGCCAAGGGTGGTTGTGCATGATGGAGCATTGGCCTGGCAATTACCGATCTTGTAATGAAGAGAACATTCACATGAACCTGACTAGTACCAGTTTACTACATATGGGCCCTGGGCGCCATGACAGGAGAGTTGAAATGAACGCATGCTGTGAATTTCGAGTGTGTTCTACCTTCTCTCTCTCGATTATCAACACCAGTCGTCTTATAAGCCTCTCGGTTCCTTGTGTCTCTTGAGACAGCCTGGTTGATGGAACTTCCTCTTGCTTCTGTTGACATCAAATTTGTAGCGGTTCTCACGCATACAGTTTATGAGCCGCGCAATCGGACTCGTGAATGTGTGATTGATTTTCTTCTCCAAATTCACCACTGAAGAGAAGGATGAAAACTATCTCTCAAAAGCTTCTAGGTTCGTAATCGCCATTCCAAACTACCATGCGGAATCTGGCCAAGCCCCCGGTATCTTCAACGGCCGTTTTTCTCTTTTGAGATATCCAGATCGGTAGAATTTTTTCAACTGCCTTCTGTTGAACCTCTCCTGCATGAGTTTCTGGGCGTATTGGAAACTTGCAGGAGGATTGTCGTCGGTATGTCGATGGCTGCAAGCAAAAAAGGCCCACCTGTTTGGTTCATAGTCCCGCACAAAGTTGAAAACAAATGGCCACTCAGTTTCATTAAATTCAGAGACCTCGCAAGATTTCCACAAAACATGCTGCTGACAATGCGCCTTATCTGCCATCGTCGAATCTTCGAAATCGGGCCAAATATTTCTTTTGATAGAGCTGCCAAAGTCTTTAAACTCGATTCTGACTTCATATGCTTTGCTGTCTGGGTCGACATATCGGTAAAACAGAGGGATGTCAAACCCATCAATCTTTGTTCTACCTGCCACTGTAGCCCGTTCCCTGGTCTCTTTGCAAGGGACTATCAAATCGATTATTTTCTGAAAATAGGGTTCTTCGCGTTGGAGATACCTGGCGACATCAACTCCAGCTACCAGCAAAATCTTTACCCAGTGTGAGAGGGCAGCCTCGACTTCACAATGGCAGGGCGAGCTTCGAATGAGATGAGAAAGTACAGTTCCAGGCCATCGAGAGGAACTCAACTGATAGTAAGTCCGGATGTTGCAGATTCTGTGAATATTCACGCCTTCGTTGATCAACTCAACAAAAAGGCGAGTCCAGTCACTTGTTCGCCGACCTTCTGGGTACCAAAACGGATCATCATGGACTTGTATCACCAAAAGGCGAACTGCCATGTCCCAGACAGCATCGAAGAAAGCCTTTCTCTCCATTTGATCCACGGCAGGCACTCCGCACCGTTTGTATACAACAATCAGAGAATCTAGATCATTGACACAACCGGCTAGTAGCCTAAATCTCATGGGTCTGGATAGTTGTGTGAGTTGAACAATTTCATCTACTTCAAGAACACGGCGCCGAGCATGAGAAGGCTCAAGTTGCTGATTAATCAACCCGGCCCAGTGGTCAGGCCTACAGATGCTAGCCATTTTATTAGCCCGCATACCTGGACAATATATGTGTGCATTCACGGTCTTACTTCTCATCTATGCACACATCAAGATTCTGCTGGGCGAGGAAGCGGCAAAGAGACGGCTGGCTACACATCGCTGCCGACTGTGACCGACAAGAATTTAGCCCTCCCAAGATCTCCACCGAGTGCTGATAACCAGATCTTACCTCAAACAGCGTCCTATCCCCCAGCATGGTGCCTAACGTGATTTTCCTGGTAGAGAGTAGGTCTTGCAGCGCTGGCAAGTCTCCATCGCACATAATATACAACATCCTCTCTACCAGCTTTCCGTCTTTCTCTTTAGTGAGAACATGGCGGAAAGCGAGGGCGTAGACCATGGGACTCAAGTTGCTCATGGACCAGTGCAGTTCTATCCTGTAGGAAAAACTGCTGTGCCCGAAAGTGTAAGTCTTGATCTCGATTGTATTGGACACCTCCGGTGCACCGTGAGAGCTAGACCTCTTGAGAACTGTCCTGGTTTGATTTTGAAATTGAAAGCCGAATGCTGTGACCGTCTTCTGATCACCTGCTTCCACCATTGTTGTATGTCTTGGCTCGGATGGCAGGTCGCTGTTGTGATCTTGTTGCGAAGCGGACTGCATATGAATAGGCCTCATGTTTGAGTACTCAGATGCTTCGGTCTTGTGGTGAATGGTGAGCTGCTGGACGATGTTGCACCTAGAGCTATCACAGAGTCAGTTTGGAAAAAGCAGAAGTAGGACTCAGAAAGCGCACAGTATCTCCGCAGTCATCATATGCTGCAGGTAGTTCAGATCATCATCCAGCCACTTGCTCAACCGAGATATGTCATCTTTGCATTCCAGGAATGCCAAACCCATGGTGTTGAAGGGACGTCTCTTTTCACTTTTCCGTTCCAGCTTTGTGGCGATGGCATGGATCTCGGCGAGCGTCGATGAGATGCTTCTGAGAACACATACCCCCCAGGTCCTGATGAGATCAGAGCACTGTCTCGAAGATGCGTCTCCCTCGAGACTGTCCTTGATCGCACCGCATATTGCCTCGACTCTTTCGATCTTGAGTGCCAGCCGGTTGATCTCCGCCGATGCAGACCGGTAAGTTGTGACGACTCTCTTGACTTTGATGGCAGAGTCGATGAGCTGCAATGAGAGCCCAATCACTCCGATAGCTGCCTCCATCGATGATGAGGGCGATGTACCAGGCGCGTGGGACCGCAACTAACAGGCGACACGAGGAGACGCGAACGTTCACAAGAGACTTGAGAGAGAAGGATGAAGCAATTCGACATTCTACTGTCGAGCAAGAATAAGTCAGCGAGACGAGGCTGTCAGGCAGATTTACCCCTCCCGGACCCTACATGCGACCATACAGTCGTGGCCCAATAAGACCTTGCCGCAGATAGCTTCGCCACAGCTATCTTGATTGCACATGCAGTTGGTTCCATTTCCGACCGTAGTACCCATGGTAGTGAGTTGCTTTCTCGCCAGATGTTGGCTATCGAATGGGGGTATTGGAAAGTGAGGTGATCTTTTCCATTTCATGTTTAACAAAGAATGCATCTATTAGGGGTTGTATAAAACCCTTCTACTCGGTGCCATGTACTAAGTATCTAATTATGTAAGTCCTGAATGCTGGTATGTGCATCTTTCCCCTTCGTCCATTGTAAGTTATTTACTCAAACGTAAAAGTCAAGCGGCAACTTGAGCCACTCGCACTGCTCGACATCCTTGAATCCTCTCATCATGTTGTCTCTCACGGGCCAATCGATGGCCCTCATCTTCATGTCGCCTTTCACAGATGGCTCCCAGGGCCCGGCCTTTTCCAATGCCCTCAACGTGCTGTCGAACCCTCTGGCCTTGAGGAAGGCCTTATCCGGATTAGGATCATAAGTCCTTGCGAATGAGGTGAATGTGTCGACGAGATATTGCATCCAGGGCAAGTCGTTCTCGTCTCGGAGCGGGTTTCCCTGACGCACAAGATTGCCAAACAGCGGAAGTAACTCGCCCGAGTGGCATCGTAGGTTGTTGATGGGCGACTCAGGATTTCCATTGGGGTGAGCCTTTGACTTCGGTGCCTCGCAGATGTCGAGTCGCGGCCATTCGGGCGTCTGGTACGTCCGCTCAAACTCATAGTAGTACACCTTGGACCCAAGGACGCCGTTCTCCAAGCCCGCGTACGCCGTAGCTTGATCTACGCAGCGGAACATCGCGTCGGTGGCGAGCCTGGCACCCACCCCGAACGCCGCCCGCGTCTGGTTCTTGACATCTGTCGGAGGGAAAAGACGCTGTGGCGGAGCTGGGAGGCCCTGAGATGTGAGCCACTGGGTATCGTTGAGGACTGTCCCATTCCGCGGGAGAATCAGAAACGGCAAGCCGTCCTCAGATGTGATGCCCATCATGACGTTGACATTGAGAGAGTCGCCTCTAAGAGACAACTCATTTGTCGTCAGGTAGACACCATCGTTGACGAGGTACCGCGCTCCTGGCCCGAGACTTCCAAGCGGCGCGTCTCTGAGACAGTCGAGCTGCGACGTTGCGTTGGTGCAGTTCGTGGTGCCGAGGATGGCGTTACCCACGAGGTCTAGCTGTTCCTCGATGGAGAAGTACTTGGAGTATGACGTCCCGTACGCCAAGCCTCCAAGGTTGCTGAGCGGGATCGCGCCCGCAAACTTCCCGGCAGCCTTTGGAGACGCCATCATCGCGCGGACGGAGGCAGCTCCGGCGGATTGGCCAAATATGGTGATCTTGCTTGGGTCCCCGCCAAAGTCTCGGATGTGTTGTCGGACCCAGTCCAACGCCAGAATCTGGTCAGCGAGACCAAAGTTGCCATTTGTCTCGCCATCGTCAATGGCCAAAAAGCCCAGAGACCCAAGCCGGTAGTTTATGGTCACGACGACTACGTCGCCACGAGATGCCAGATTGCCCCCGTCAAACAGGGGATCACTACCAAAGCCACTCGTCAGAGCTCCACCGTGAATCCAAAACATGACCGGCCGGAGACCGCTATCGATGCGTCTGTTACGGGGAAGATACGGCGTGTAAACGTTCAGGTACAGGCAGTCTTCTGTGCCGCCGAACCCCTGATAGCAAGGGGATCCGAATTCGAGTGCGGTAGCATTACCGCCAGAGCCTCGATACATTTTAGGGTATGCGAACCGCTTCGTCCTCGTAGCGTAACGCATACCATGAAAGCGAAAGCTATTCCTATCGCGAAAGCCAAGTACTGCTTCTCTGTTGGAGTACACCACAGTCTGCCACCTCGGACTGCTGTCCTGGGCTATGCCGTTGGAGTAGGGCGCCGTCTGCGTGCACAGAACGGTATTCGTGTCGGATGTGCCGGCAGAGGAGACCTCGCCTTTGAGGTTGATCGTTTGGGGATCATCGCCGTTCTCGGGCATGATCCAGATTGCTGACAAGTCAACATCGGGCTCTTGATAGTCGAGAATGTCTAATATCCTCTGCGTGGAGTTTGAATCTGCTTTCCACAGCTGTTCGCCTAGATCTTTGCACATGGACTTGGCCTCTCGTAAAGGCACCCGGGCCCTGAGGAAGAGAGCGCTTGTATTGGCCGCTGGGCTTTTCGAGTCTAGAAGGTTGCCATCGTCAGTCAGAGGCTTCTGGATATGTGACACTGGTTGAGACTCACCCAGGAGGTCATTGTCTCGAATGATGGTTATGTCGGTCCTGAGGTCCTGGGTCGACGGTACGCACGAAACAGCTGCAGCTAGTATGGCGACCAGAGCGAGCGCTGCCGCAGGCATGACGTCTTACACCGAGACCGAGATGACAATTCGCCGAGAAGAATATCGGAACCCATATATACAAGCATGGAGAAAATCAACAACCAAAACCAAAGGAATGGATTGTAGAACTGTCTGCTTCTTCCTTCTGAGCAACGTTGACCTGGAAATACAACACAAGTGGCGGCAGTCACTTCAACATTAAAGGAGTTCCAGGGACATCCGCTCAACTTAACCCAACCGGACTGTCCATTGCGCCGAGTGAATAGGACAGAAGCAGGCCAAGGATCTCCCAAGCAACAAGGCGAGCGGGAAAGGAAGAGTCGGCACGGTCCGACTAGGTGCCCAAGTCTTGCTCTTCCTCGCAACTCAGAACGACACACTTGGCCCTCCTCCGTCCTCACCGCGGGGCCCTGGGAACAAAGCCCAGGCACCAGAGTCGATCGAAGCTTTGGGATCAGCCTATCCGTGTTAGAGTGATTTCTCTACCGGGAAGACCGCAGGGCTGGAATGGCAGACGAGAGAGACCCCGAGCAGGGAAGCATGATGGACGCGGGCATTCTACGAGTTTTAGGCTGGGCGCATGAGATCGCGCGGGGGCCGATGCTTCTGGTCCGAGCCAGGAGCAGGCTGGCGGAAAGGTTGCTCAGGTTTCAAAACTCAAGGCTCTCGCGCGCTCGCGCGCGCCGTGCTCATTCGCCTGGCCCGCGACAGTCATACACACAAACGACGTGGAGGTATCGCGTTTGGCGCAACTTCGATTTCTAATTACTCCGACGGGCCGGTAGATTCTTGTTTGACACTGCAACCCTCACTCCACCAGAACTTGATGGTGTGGGTGTCGTTGGGGCTTGTAGGATAAGTTTGGGGTGCTATTCGATTGCCGAACACCCGAAATTTTGGCAAAACGTCGTAATCGGAGCCGTTGCTGTTGCATTCTCAAGTATGATCTACGAACTCGGATCAGTGCGGGGTGGATTGATGTAACACCATGTCAACATCCAAGAGCGAGGGCATGAAAACGAGAAGGTCTGGCCAAGATGAGAAAGCTCGTTGTGAGATGAACGACAACGGCGTCGGGAAACGACATGGATCAATCTGACTTCTATTGCTTCCATGCAGCCCGTTCGATTGTTCTATCGTTCCATGTCTCTCTTTACACTTTTGTTGTTGCGGTAGTGGCAAGACGCCAAGAAGGACGGCGAAACAACGGAGACCGTCCGTCATGTTCGCCATCTGATGCGTGCCCTTTGCACATTTACTGAGTCGTCCCTTGTGAGTTAAACTCTATGTTCTGAAGAGGATTCCGTCCCGACGAGATAAGAGGACTAGGTCAAACAATGCCTGACTCACGAAGGTTTATGGAGAGGATGAGGCTCAACATGGAACAACGTCAACCCTTCCTGGCATCTAACACATGTTACAATGAGACAGACAAGTGTTGTGTCGGATGAACCGCGATTTTGTATTTCTCTGGCTACTGATAGCTACGCAGTGGACTGCAACTACCAAATGCACAATTCCTTGGCGGTGTTCTCAAAGTTGATGATTGTGAACCAAAGCTAACCCAAGTTTCCCGAGTATTCCCTTGTATCCTTCTCCAACCTTTCAGATATTGCTGGTGATTCCAAACGTCTAATCGTGCTTCAGAGGCGGGTCGGACTTGCAACAGTCGTACTTGTCCGTTGCGACGATCCAGAAACTGAGTGGGAACTCCTTGCAGCCGATACTGCCTCTGACTTCCATGCTATCGTCCTTGCCGCAGTGATGGAAGCTCTGAGCGAAGATGCCATACATGTCGAGGTTGCCGATCTTGGAACTCTTGCCATTGATCGGGGAACCTTGAACATTGGCGAATTCAGAACCGACGGCGATGAGACAAGTGCCGATTCGCATGAACTCAACCCACTTGGTGCCACGGAGATCAAGGTCAGAGAAGGTCCAGGTACCGGATGTCTTGGCCATATGCTTGTATATCTCCATGCAGTCCTTAGCCAAGGCCTTCTGGTCGCGGTTGTAGCAGGTAACGCCTTGTCCCTGACAGACCTTCTCGGACTTCTCGCTTTTCTGAAAAATGTGACGTTTGGAGAAGGAAGAGGTGCTGAAGTGATTGATGATGGGAACGGGAATGAGGGTCTCTCTGGCAAGGAGAGTATCGTCGGTGTTGATGTCATCCTTGGCGATGTTGTCGACACTCTTCTTGGTTTGCTTGACTTCTACAACCGAGGAGACCGCGCCCTCGGCATCGATGGAGTCGGCTTTATCGACCTTCGGAACGGTGAAGATGGCCTTGCACTTGCCGTTGCCGAGAAAGACCTCGTGACAGACAGCCTTGGGACAAGGCGGCTCAGTAAAGGCGCAGAGAGAGCCACAGGCAGGATCGCGGATGATTCCAGGACCCTGGGCAACCGGGGTGGCGGCGACGGCAAGCGCCATCACAGCGGTAGCGGTAGCGAGAAGACGAACTATGACAACCATCTTGAGGGTTGTTATGTGGGAGACTCGATTGGTGATACAGATGGAAGCTGTCTCTTGGAGTAAAAAAAAGGTAGAACTTTGTCTGCTTCTGGCTGTGGTATCCGTCGTATTTGGCAGTCGAGGGGTGGGCGGGTAGGTAGAGGTGAAGAAGACCAAAAGCAAGTAGTCTCGGATGGTAATTGCTTTACTGGAAGCTCGAGGCAGTGAACAGGGTGCTTTGAAATCTTTGTATTTTCTCGCTTGATAGTAGAGGAAGGAGGGAAAACAAAGGGAGAAGGTGCGATTGTGGGTGTATAGAAACGCCAGTTGTGAAGGGGAATGCACGGAGGAGCAGCGTGAGGTGAAGAGGGAAAGAAAAACATGATACCTTAGGTATGACAATCATTGAATGAGGGAACCTGAAAACACAATATTCACATACAAGGCCCAGATGTGAAGTATTTCACTCTCTGTGCGCTGTGTAACACAATAGCCGGGTCAAGGTGAGATATCTTGTCCACCTGAGGCTAAGTCAACCTTCTGTAGTTCAAGGCACTAGACTTGACTATTGTAGTGAGTATTCCATTCACATGGGTCCAGTCATAGTGTTCGTAATGAAGCCTGTGTATTGGGACTAAAAGTATCCTCCTTCCAATGTGGCCTCAAAGAATTCCAAGATGCGGCCACGAACTACCCGCTCCTGCAACCCGTTTCTTGTGAATCCATATCGACCCTGTAATGATGTTTATTCTCAGGAGCCAAATCTCACAAGGCATGCTCACTCCTCAGTTGTCCCACTTGATCATGTCGGGGTTGGCGATGTACCAGTCGGCAGCGACCTTGCCACCCGAGGCGATGCAAGAAGAGCGACCAGCAACCTCGACCTGGTCCATCATTCTGTGCTTCTCAATGGCCTGCTGGATGATCTCGGTGACATCCTGGTTGCCAATGTTGATGGCAGCCTCGGGGCGGTTCTCCTTGGTGGCGCCGACGACAAAGGCGCAGGTGCCAACAACAGAGAGAGCGACCCAGCGGTGCTTGTCCAAGTCGGCCTTGGAGACGGCCCAGTGGCCAGCGTTAGAGGCGGCCCAGTCTTTGATGGCGAGGCAGTCGGAGACGAGGGGCATGTAGGGGTTGATGTGGCCAGAGTGAAGGCCATTGACGTTGTCGCAGAAGTCCTCGTTGCCAGTCTTCTTGTTGGGAATCCAGGTGGTGGCTCCAGAGTTGATAGCATTCTTCACGCTGTCGAAGTTACCCTCATTGGACTTGGCAGGATTGAGTGTGAAGACGGCGAAAACGCTGCCATCGGAGGCTGTGAAGGGGTGGCAGACAGCGTTGGCAAAGGGAGCCTCAGTGGCCTCACAGATGGTGGCCATGTCGGCCTTGACCGGCTGCTCAGCAGGAGCAGCAGAGGTGACGATTGCGCCCAAGATGGCCGAGAAGGAGGCGATGATGGTGATGCTCTTCATTTTGGCGGTGATTGTGAGTGAAGGATTGAATTCAGGATGGGATATTGTGATGTGAGGTGTAGAGGGTGTTTGAGATTGTCTGTTGTTGATTGTCGATGAGACTTTCGTGGGGTTGAATTGTTTGTGGGAGGAATTTTTTCCAAGAGAGGAAGGGGCAAGAGACTTTTTCGTCCTTTTGATGTGAAGCTCTCATTGAATACTCACTCAGGCAAGGGCGGTGTGCGATTTTTGATGGTGAATACCATCACGGTCTTAAATGAAAAGGGGGCAGTAGTGGATTTGGGGGGAAGGTGCCTCCAGCCCATTGAGCAGAAGCAAACAAAAACAAGCCGTGGAAAGTTTGTTTGCAAATGGCTTCTATTGTTGCACCATGGACAATTGAGTATGTTACTGAGATATTCACGACGAGGAAATGTGTCTCAACATAGCTGGTAAGTGAGATAACTTCAATAAGGGGTGAGATACGATCAATGCAACGACCTACCTAGGTTGATTCCCTTCATCAAAACCTTCATAACCGGGCTGTTTGAAACAAGCCCTCTTAGACTTTGGTCAAAAATTCCCAATCCTATTCCTGTATACTTAGTTGTGGTTACGCATGGGAGATCTTCCTACCTGATTTGCTTACCTCTGACAACTTGGGGCGATGTGTACGAGATACGACTACGCTACATACTATTCTAAATCATCTACCTCATGTTTGTGGCTTGAATCTCGTTGGTCGATTCCTCTTTTCAGACATACCGTGACTGGAATTCATCATGTTGACGAAGTTCTCTTCCTTAGAACATCGATGCGACTGGGCAACAGAATCATCTTGCAATCGTGAGGTCCCCAAGCTGTCCACCGATTCAAGACGAAGAATACCACCCCTTTCAGGTATACTAGTATTGTCTCTGCAAGCGCTGTCCTTATCTCGAATCTGGAAAAGTGCCAGCTGAGTAGTGGCACAACCTGTGTGTTCCCCCGCAGAGGACGAAAAGGGGCCAGCATCTCGCACCGCAGGCTGAGCCAGGCATCCAAGCCGTAAGCACACACTCTCTCGGAAAGGCACTGATCTCTTGACCTCGGACTTATCCGGTCGGATAAGTGGCGCGAGTTGAGACATGTGTGATGGTGTCCTCGGGTCGAGCCGCTGTCTCAAAAGGCTCTATCCGCCGAGGCAACGCCTTTTGCGTGTTCAACGTCTGGCGTCATACCGAGCATGTATCTGGGCACATCGTCACCTTACTGCTGCCTTGCTGATTAATTCTCTAAAGAGGCATCGACTTGACGCCGTGTTACAGATGAGCCAACCATCTCCGACTACACTTAGTGAGCAAGAGATGGATTGCGAGGGAGTCGGAAAAGGAAGGCCGAACGCCGTAGATGACCAGCCAAAGGGCTCTACAATGTGCAGAAAACAAGTCAGTCGCGTCAGCCAAAAGAGACGAGGCAACCGCACTTTCGCTAGCCTCGTTGAGAATGGGCAAAACTTTTTTTGAGAGAAGCTGGGAATTCTGCACCCATCTACACCCTTGGTGTTGCAACCGGGCGCAGGCTGGTACATGTGAATGAGGGGTGGTGTCTTGTTGTGTAGAAGCCAAGGGCTCTTCTGCTTGCAGGGATTATCAGCATACTGACTGATTCCTCTTCAAGCCAGGTGCTTTGTAGATGTTACACCAAACACTCAACGTTCGAGGATAGTGCCACTTTGCCGAAACTTCTTGAATGTACTGACATGACGATCAGTTGAGAATTCAATGGAGACGGCGAGAATGACAGCTCTTGTCCTCCCTCGACCGTTGGGCATATATACAGATGGCGGCGGCCTTGTAGACGGTGAGACCCAGGAGCCAGGCCTCTCGTTTGTGACATGGAGTACAGCTTTTCGGCTTCTGAAGGACAAAGAAAAGACCCGCAGTTTGACGGAAAGCCGCCAGATCGCTCGATTGTACGCGTTGTACATGAGGTGAGCAGGGAAGTCCCTGTGGCATTAGGCATCTCTGCAATGGCTACGACGAAGACAGATCCCAGGGTACGTGAGGAGATTTTTCTTGTATCACCTCTGATGTGAGAATATGCGTGTCCAACGTCGCGCAAAGGCCCTGCACAAAGACGATTTCAGTTGCTGTGGGACCCGGGCTTCTCGACGTGCAGTGCCGATGAGTACAACGTTGGGACTACACGCATCGAAGTCGCCGAGGTGGTAGAATTCTGTGTCGTCAGGAAATGCGAGTTCGTGCCAGCTCCGTGGATGTTGTGTACCGACACAGCAGACAGCCTTGGTCTAGGCTTCTGCTGATCAGCCGCGGCGTCTGAATATCATCAAGCTTAACTGGCAGACGGTGTGGACAGGCCTCCCTTGTCTCTTGAAGATCGAAGGAGTTGAAGAGGCTTCGCGAGGTAGTAAAGATCCTTCATTATTGCATGGATGGTGCTTGTAAAGGAAGCAGGAAACCGATCAGAGCAGTTGTCAGTCACGTCAGTTAAGGTGCGGCTCTGCAATGGCAACTGAGACCAGTTGGCATTATTGTCTCATTCTTCTCCGCCACTACACATCATTCGAGCACTCTAAAATGTTGTGAGGCCATGAGAACGACGTGGACATGGGAGGAAATAGGCGCCTGCGAAAAAATTGGCGTTTGGATTGGACTCGTATCAGAAGACCAGCCACGTAAGATGCTCCATTCAGAATGGTCTTGTCGAAGTGTCAGATGGACCACCGACCAGGCCAGCTCCAAAGATCGAGGTAGAATTCGCACGGTCCAGACCACAACCTGGATGAGAGGCGCACTTCGAATCCTATCTTTGATACGAAGCCGAGGGCGGTACCGACTGCACCACCCTCGTCGACGAACAGCCTTAATGTCTCGGTTGTTACGGACTCAGAATAGTCTCTCTCACGTCCTGCATAAAGACGTACGCATGTCTCGATCGCTGGCATCTCGAATTCGCATCCTATGACCGACAAGAATCTTGTATTCTTGCCCATTCCTTCGTGTCATGTCAGCTTGATTGGCCAAGCACCTAGGGCTTCTGCCGTGTAACATTATTTCTGCAGGTCGTTGCTGGATGTTCCTTATCGGAGTCATTTGATGCACCCCTCACCAATTGGAGTCGTCTTTGAGGGGGAGTCGTGGTCGTTGATTGGGGTCGATGATGGCACCCAGAAGTGTAAGAATCCTATATCCGATTGAGCCGGCCCTGGACAGTGTTGACCGCGAGCCTGCGTGGATTTGCCGATCAAGCCATACAGCTGGACACACTCTTTAATGCGCGTCCTCCACACACCTCGAGAAAAAGCGGCACGTCTTCGGTGAAGGAATCGAGGTTGACAGATATTCAGCCGGATGGTTGCCTTGTTTCGTGCGGCGCGGACCATTTCCACTGTCCGCAAAATTCGCCTTCCGGGTCGACCCTCCCTCCCGCCCGTCAAATCCGCCCGTGCCCGTGCAAGACAAAGTCAGTCTCTTGCGGGGTAATGAGCACCGGCAGAGACGATAAACGAGCAGCTCTCGGTGTGTAGTGTAGAGGCCCGTGTTTGCCAAGACATGGTGACAGCTTCTGATTCCAAGCGCAGTTCTAATACAGACGACTCAGGCATATTCGGTACGTATAATGCACAGTCGCCGAGGCCCGTTGGACTCCGAGTAGCATTTCAGACTTTATTTCGTTTTGTCGAGTTCATCCATCGACCAGGTCAAACTCTCTGGCTCAGGCGAGGGAGACAGGCGTCTCAAGTATCGCAGTTGAAGTAATTGCCGTTTGATGACCAGGCTGCCAATCCAAAGGCGAGGAACGTGGCGCTCGACTGGGCGGTGCCCACCACTTCACCGAAGCGACAGGGATGGTGCAAATGGATGCCTCGAGAGCGACGAAGTATTTTATGAGTAGGTGGCTTGCTGGGTTGAGTGATAGGTTGCGCGTATGGTAGACAGTTGCATATTCCTGGCGGTGAAAGTCAGCTTCCTGGCTTCCTGAAAGCTCGCAACGCCCGCCCCCTCTTCTCAAGGCCACTATTTCCCACCCTTCTCTTCCATCTTCTCTCTTCCCCTCAACAGACGAAAGAGGCCGGATAGCTGAACTGGACACTCCAAGGACAAGGCTCGTATCATCGGAAAGAAAGCAGTTGAGATACGTGCTGCTGCGGCCAAAGTTGTTGATGGTGGCCATTCCGTTCTTGTCGCCGAGCCCAGACCTGCATCCTACAGTCAGGAACACAGATCAAGACAGACCAACAGCATAAGTACCAACACACCCTCCCGTCGCTCATTTGGTCTCATACACCCTTCCACAAAGGACTGCGCTCGCCTCACTTTGTCTAGCACAGTCTCCGAGTCGAGACAGCCACAACCCTCTCGACTTCTTCTGGTACGACATTCCACTCTGCATAAGTATCTCCCTCCTACTTCATTGAATGTTAGTTTCATGAGACGTCGGTTACGGATTCATCATATAAGACGTGCCTTACCTGTTTTCAACCCCCCTCGAGGATAGCCTCCGAGTCCTAGCATCCTTACAATTCTCGTCACCATCATGGCTCCCCTTCCATCTGGTGTTATCAATCTCACTCCCGGCCCGCCGAAACACCCTCAAGGGGCGAAAGGCGGACCGCATCCACCGCCTCCACCACCGGTCCCCAAGCCTCCCGTCCACGGACCGCCGGCTCATCATGTCGTTCAACGTCCAGCAGCCCCGATGGTAGCCCCAATGATGATGCCTCGGCCCATGCCGGTTCAGCCTCCCAACGATGTGATTCCACCTGAGCTACGGCGCAAGCGTCTTGTTGAGCGATCAGATCTTCGCAACGAACGCATGACCGATGCCGATGCACGCGAAGCCTTGTCCGAGTATGTCGTATACCGGTTCGAAAAGGTTCATGACCCGAACGAGATTGACGACGAAGGAAACCCCGTCAAATCGACCTGGGAGAATGTCATCCGCACAGAGGTCCAGGACCTCCCCAAGCCGGCCATAACTCGAACCATCCGTCAACTTGATGCCGAGGGCAAGACAGC